GTTATGCTCCTCCTCATCTGCGCCACTTTTCCCCCCTCGCCAAGCGCCCATTTCTGATCCGACTGTTCTGAAACTTTGTACATACCTCAATATAGTGTATTGCTACCCCTCAACGAGTTTTCAAAGCCCCAATCCAAGGGAATATGCAGCAATGCACCAATATAGGTGCAGCCGCTTCCCAGGGCTGTAGCTCCAAAACCGGTCCGCCGATTTTGCTAATATTCTGCACAGGGCCTCTCCTATATGATATGTACATGCTCCCAAAATATTGGAGCGAAATTCCAACCCTGCTCTGTGAGACCTCTCCCCAGAATGAGTCTAGATCAGGGCTACAAGAATGTCCCAAAATATGTGCCCGCATCCAGGGTCCTTGCTGAGATATGGCCCCGCATTCACACCAATAGCCCGAGGCTGATACTTGGGCTCAGACCTTGTTGATGTCATGGTCGTAGCTTGTAAGCAGGGTCGTTGTGAGATCATATAAGGGTGATACATACCCAGGGGTACCCTGAGTATTGGCTAGACTATAGGCAAGGGGGTGGAGAGGGCAAGTTGTAGAAGCGGGTGCACAGCCACAATCGCACCAGATTCTGATAGCCCTCGATCAGGGCTACCAGAATATACCATAATATGACCCCGCATCCAGGGTCCCCACTGACATATGAGCCTAGATAGTGAGAGGGCCACAGGTAGCCATGGGTCAGAGTGGGTGCACAGCCACAATCGCACCGGATTCTGGTAGCCCTTGATCAGGGCTATAGGAATATACCATAATATGACCCCGCATCCAAGGTTTTCATTGAGATATGAGCCCGCATTCACCCAGGACTTTTTGGTTACACCCGCATCCGTTGAATGCGGGCCCTGTTCTCGCCGACCAGCGCAGCCACCAGTGCGATACCACCACCATCGTGTAGCCAAGAAGCAGGGCTACCAGAAAACGTGCGAATGCGGGGTGGAATTCTCAACGGTTCCCTAGCTATGGCCTCCGCATTCAATCCGCATCCATCCGCATTCGTGCCACTGAGCTCAGTGGCAGGTTTTATAGAGATAGGGCCACGTCGAATGCTACGCGCAAGTCATCAGCTTGGCATTCCATGTTAAGCTCGGCAACGTAGGTCCAGCCTGCGCTCGGTAGCAGTCACCGGTCTGACAGCCAACGTTCGTGCAGCTCGCCAAATTGCGCTGGACGTTCACCAAAGACGAGTTCACTGCCGCGCCTCTCGATCTTGCCATGTTCGTCGTCTCGGACGTCATGGGCAAGAACGAGCACGCCGTCTACAGGGGGGAAACCGTCGATTTGGCCAATAGCATAGCCAAGCTCGTCCACGTCGAGGAGTTCGTCGCCCAGACCGTGTCTTTGCACGTCCTCTCCGAGTCATCGCGCTACACTCGCAAGAACATCGCCGTCGTCAGGTCCCTTGAAGGAAACAAATACTCCATCCTTCCGGTAAGCCCCCCTGCTCCTCGTGTGGCATGCACCTTCGGACCTCACCCTCACTCTCCAGGGCTCTAGCGACCGTGTCTGTAAAGCGAAGAACTGCAAAGACATGGGGCTCTATCGCCCAGACACTCACATCCTGCGGTGGTGCCAGTTCTGTCGCTCCTGGTTCCACGTCGACTGTCTCAAGGCAGTGCTCGCGAAGGGCCCCACCGTCCCCAAAGCAGATCCCCACCGCCCAGACCAGTATTACACCGCGGACGCCATCGCGACCAGCTTCGCCGCGGGACTGATCCAGTACGACCACTACAACTGGACTATCTGGCTCAACCTCCTCAAGCTGCCCATCCAACGCGGACAGCCGGGGTGCGACTACCCGCTCTCGTACGAGCTCCTCCTCGTGGCCATCCGTGCGACCAACTCTGCCACCGGTTGCCCGGCCGACGTCCGCAACTTCGTGCTCGCCCACCTCTCCCCTGCCACCGGCCTCGCTCATCAGACCTCCAAGCTGGCCGCCCGCCTCTACGCTTTCTCGTCCGTCCCCTCAAAGTACTATAGATGCCCCAACTGCACGACGGCGGTCATCATTTAGCTTACCTTTTGTAATGACGAGCGTTTGGAAAAAGCGGAGCCCACGATCGGTCGGACTCCGTCAATCCTTTCATACAATCTATCGCCGTTTGAACTCGGAGCTTCATCCGCTCAGCGCTCTCCAACCACGCTCTGGATGTGGTGTCCCTCGGCATCTGTGCAACACAGACTCCATGGCATGCAGCCTGCCAACCGGCCAGCGGGTGCGCCGCTCCTGGGCCGGTGCGTCCCTCACGCACACGCACACACATATGCACACCCCGCCGCGTCTGTGTTCAACAGACGGCGCGGCGTGGGCCTCACCGGCGGCTGCGGGCCGCCGGGCGCCTCCTGCGCTCCCCACTGCCTGCCCCCCCCCGGGTCTGTGTTCAACAGACGGCGCAGCGCGGGCCTCACTGGCACACCGCCACCGGGCGCCTCCTGCGTTGGCCTCCCGCCCCCCCGCATCTGTGTAACACAGACTGCACGGCCGCCGGGGTCGCTCCCGCTGCAGGCTTAATAAGCTAAACCCTAGCTAACCCCGCGGCGTCTTTCGCTGCACACATCGGCAGGTGCGGGGCACGTGGCACGTGTGCAACCTGCCTGCCTGCCTGCCTGCCTGCCTGCAGCGGTTGGTGGCTAGGGTTGGATCCGGTAGGGTTACTTACCGCATTAGGCAAGCGCGGCGCCTGTTCTAACCCTAGCGCGGCCGGCGTAGGGTTAGTTCTAGGGGTTATTTTCGACCCTGGGGTGGGAGGGGAGGGGTCTCATAACCCGTAGGGGCCCGATCATCGCACCTGTCGCGCACGGCGCGACGGGTGCATCTTTCATTTCTTATCCTTCCCGTACGGCTTCGGCCCCTCCTGTATATACGCGGGCCCCGAGCACCGGGAAATGCACTCTCTCTTACCCCTTCAGAGCTCAAGTTTGTGTTTGCGCCTGCGTCTGCGACTGCGACTTCGACTGCATTCGCGAACCTCCCCTGACAGCGCCCCCGATGCCCTCGACTACGACAAATACAGTGAGTACCCCTCGGACGTCACAGCGCACAGGTATCCCGTCTCGTGTCGCGTCCGTCGACTAGCGTCCACGCAATCCTCTACCCCGGGGTCAGGAGCGATAAGCTCGCTCGACCCCCTCCCTCCTCCGTGCATCTGC